CTTTTCAAAAATAAATGTTTTTAAACTTTGATTTTCATTTTAGATTTTTAAATTTATTTTTTTTTAAATATTCTAAGCTTGAAAAAGCATTAAAAATTTTAATTTAGTCATGAATTTTGCAAAATTTTCGCCTGCGGCGCATAAAATTAAGAGTTACTAACTCCGCAAAAAAGTCCGCAGAAAGGGGGTAGGGATAACGAAAAAGTACAAAAAATTTTTTGCCTGCGGTTCTGACAATTGAAATTTTTCTCCTAAGTCCTTACAAAATTCTCAAAATTTTCGCCTGCGGCGCTGAAAAAGCTAGAAATCTGGCTTACGGATCATTAAAATTCTCAAAATTTTTGCTTGCGGCGCAAAAAATGGAAGAAATTTGGCTTCTTGGCCTTAAAAATTCTCAAAATTTTCGCCTGCAGCGCTGAAAACTGGAGAAAATTGGCTTCCTGGTCTTCCAAAATTTTCAGAATTTTCGCCTGCGGCGCAAAAAATTGAGGAAATTTGGCTCCTCGGTTATCTAAAATTCCAAAAATTTTTGCCTGCGGCACTGCAAATGAGAGAAAATTAGAGGATTAATGGAGATAAAACGAAGGGATATCAGTATAGAATGTGATTTTATCAGGGTGGGATTTCAGCAATATAGTGGATTTTACCAAAATATCTCTCTTAATCCCCAAATCCCACAATGTCTCTTTAATCTCTTCAAATTTGCCTCTCTCCATATCACCCAATATCCTATTATGCAACATAGCTTGTCTCCTTTCAATTTAGTTCACAAATACCCGAAAACCCGAAAATAACCCGATTTTTTGCCAAACCCGAAACCCGTACCCGAAATTTTCGCCAACCCGAAACCCGTGACCCGAAATGAAAATTTTATAACCCGAAACCCGTACCCGATATTTTTGCCAACCCGAAACCCGTGACCCGAAATGAAAACGCTCCAACCCGAAACCCGTACCCGAAGATTTTTTGTACCCGCGGCAACCCTGATACATATTTAAATGTCCGCGCAACAATTTTCTACTTCCTCCTCCCCTCCCCCAACATTTTTTACCAGCACATCCTTGCCAATCCTATGCCTCATTGATGGGCACTCACCAAAGTGCCGAGAACAGCATTATCAAATTCCTGCTCCTAAATTTGCTTCGGCACAGTTTTTGCCTTTAAGTGAATCTAATGAAGACGATAATGATTATTTAAATATTGAAAATGGTAAAGTAAAAAATAAATTTTTGGGGATATTTTTTTAATTTTTTGGTACTTTTTATTTTTAATTTTGTTTGAATTACATGAATCATTGTTGAATAATTGAGTAACTAGATAGATATCACATTTTGCTTTATTTATCCGACAAATATTCTTTAAGCTGGATATACATTTTCGAAAAATAAGCTAAAAGCAACTTACAAATTTTTAAATTTTTATTTTAATAAAAAAATAATTTTTAATTTTTTCTAATAAATTTATTTTTTATAAATCAAAAAAATTTTTTAAATTACTTCAAAATTAGAGTTTAATTTGTGTTCAACACCGGGCCAAGAACCATGTTTCCGAACCCGATGCCTGGAACTCAAAGCTGACTTTTCGTTTAGTTAAGTTTGAGATTTGTTTGCATAATTGTTGAGAAAAAGAGAGTCCCTCTGTCTGGAAACCGTCAGGCGGAAAATTAAAGATAAAATCCGAATACCAAGCCTGGAAATTTAAAATTTCGAATTCGATTTAAAATATAAGAATAAATTAATTTTTAAATAATGATTTAATTAAAACATTTTCAATAAACAAATGCATTTTTTATTTAAAAAAAGGCTTCTTCACTCCAATAATCTCAAAATCACTCAATTGGGAAGCACAAAGAATTACAAGTACCATTACAACTACATCTTCAACATCACCACCAACCTTCCAAACATCTCCACCTACTAAACCAACATCTGTATACTCAACTAAATCATTTTCAAGTCCCTCTACCTCAACAATAACTTCAACTACAACAGCTAGAAAGCGGCCTCATTCATGGACTCGACCCAAAACTAAATTGGAACATTTTACTTTTGGTAAGTTGGAATATTTTATTTAAATTTTTTGGTTTTTTTAATAAATAAATATTTAAAAATTAAATTTTTTAAATAAAAAAATTTTTTTCTATTTTTTTATTTTTTAATGCTTTTTACTTTTAATAGTTTTACTTACTTTTTGTCTTTGAAATTCTTTCCGTTCCATTTTTTATTTTTTATAATTCTTGTCTTTTTACTAAAATTTTTAAAAAATATAATTTTTCTTTTTTTAAAATTTTTAAACTTTTTTTTGTTAATACTTGACTTGTTGCGTAACGTTTTCTTAATTTATGCTGAATAACTTTTAAACTATGCTACGGACTTGAACTTTTTACGGATTAAAACAGTCCCTTAATATGAACAGAGTATTTAGGTTTTAAATACAGGTGTCGCTTTCACCAAATTCTTAGGTTAGTCAAAATCAAACCGGCAACTTGAACCGAAACTTTTAGTTAACCGTAACCGATTCGGTTTGAATTAGTTTGAAATTTGGTTTGAAATTATTTTGGTTTGAATTTATTTAAAAAATTTTTTTTTCAAACCAAAAAATTTTGCTAGAAAACTACTCTTTAATAAATTCTTAAAATATTTTTAGTAAATTTTTAGTGAATTTGTACAGATTTTCTTAAGAGAAATTTTACTATTTTTCCCATTTTTTAGTTGAAATTTCGGAGTTTTTTATAAAAATTTCAATCCAATCGGACCTCAATAACACTGAGAAAATCAAAAAATTTGGTTAAATTATTATTTCAATATATTATCCCATTATATTTTTCAAATTATTAAAAACCTCAAGTCAAGTATTAGCTTTACTAATTTTCTAAATAAAAAGCTTTTTTGCTTTATTTTTTAAACTCACGCAATTTTACCACTTTTTTACCCCTAAAAACTTTTCTTTCCTAGAAATGTCTTAAATATATTTTTATGCACATTTTGGTCAGTTGCACAAATCTGGCACGGCCATTGGCCTTAACAAAAAATAAACAGAAATTTTAATGTTGACTCAGGGGAAAATAAATATAAAAAAATGCACTCCAGCACGCACTTGAGCACACAAATAATAATAATAATTCTTACTTTTCTAAACTTTTTTTTTCCTCTTTTTTAAATATTAATTTGCTTATTTTCAATAGAAATTATAATTAAATAATTTTTATTCCCTTTTGCATTTACCAGGGCTGATCGAAATTTTGTTCAGTTTCGCCCTTTCTTGCCCTTTTCCACTTCGTTTCTGAAATATTATTTTCGTTTCTAATTGATCTGAAATTTTTTCTAGTTCGATTAGTCCTGATTCTGACCCTATACTTATACGTCCTTAGGATAAATAAATTAAATATAAAACTTTTAATAAATTTATAAATAAAATAAAAAATATAATGAAAACAGTAAAAAATTTTTTTGGCTTTTAAAAATAATAAAAAATTTTTTATAGAAAATTCCAATTAAATTTATTTTTATTTACAAAAAAACATTTGTTTAATTATTTATGCTGACAGAAAATACTCAAATATAAACTTTAAATGCTTAAGCAATTATTTATTTCTAAAAGGGATTTTAGAATTGAATGTATATTTTTAGCTATAAATGTACTTTTTTTATTAAAAAATTATTTTAAATATTTATTTTTGAAATTTTCCTTCTAGAGATTATTTTTTAAATTATAGAAATTTAACTCGAAAAAAATCTGTTTAAAGCATAAACATATGATCAGGGGTTTCCGAAAGTATGTTATCTTATTTATGTATGTTATCAGTAGGGATGGGTATTGTGCGTTTTATGACTCCAGCTCCGCGCATTTTAAGATATTACTTGCTCTAGCTCCAGGAGCCATATTATTCTATTATGATTTTCTAGAATCATAATGAAATAAAAATATGTCGTCTATTCTGTCAACATAAATTAAAAAATACATTAAAATTTAAACAAAATTTAACTAACAAATTAGGGTTGTGCTAAACCGTTTAATTTTGAAAAAACCGTATACCGTTTATGCCGTTTATCTGAGACCCGTATACCGTTTAGTTTATTTTTGAAGGCCCCGTTTAAACGTCCGTTTACCGTTTATTTTTAAAATTTTTTAAAAATAATTCATAATTCAAAAACATCAATGAACAATCATTAATTATGATCATTCCGCTTTATAAAAATTGTAATTCAACTATAAATTCATCATATCGATGGATTTAGAGGGATAAGGAAGGGCTGAAGAGATGCCTGGTGATTAAGAGGGATATCATTGGTTTTGATATTTGGATGATTTAAATATATATCAGAGAATTGAGGTGGGATATTGGTAGATTATGAGTTTTAAAGGTGATCAGAGGATTAAGAGATCAGAGATCAGGGATTAAGGGGATTTGAAGGGATATCAGAGGATTAAGGTGAATATCATGTGATTTCGAGCGATTGAGGGATTTGAAGGGAAATTGGGGATTTGAAAGGATAATAAGGATCTTTCTTTTTCAGCGCCGCAGGCGAAAATTTTGAGAATTTTAGAGGTCCCTAAGTCAATTTCTTCCTTTTTTGCGCCGCAGGCGAAAATTTTAAAATTCACGTTTTAATCAACTATTTCTAAGAAAAAATTAAACGAAATAAACGCCGTTTAGAAGGACCGATAAAGTTTATGCCGTTTATCTGAGACCCATATACCGTTCCGTTTAATTTTACCAAAAAACCCGTTTACCGTATACCGTTTAGTGTTTAGCTAAACGGTTTGGCACAACCCTATAACAAATATTAAAAAATTTTTCAAAAAAATATTTATCAATATTAGCTGCACTTTCATCGGCTTCACCAATTCAGCCAGATTCTTCAAAATTGCTTTCTTCCGAATTAAATTTAATGGTTTCTAGCAATTATAACATTCAAAGTACATCAACATCAAATGAGTATTATGGCGCCTCATCCTCAGAAATATTAAATGATCGAGAAGAAAAATTATTAAATACATTGGGGTATCATAACAGACACAGAATTAAGTTGAAACAAAAGGAAGAAAAAGGAAGTGTAATTGAAGATGAAGAAGAAAATCAAAAAAGGGAGGAAGAGGAAGAAGAAGAAGAATCAAACCTTAGACAACATTATATCCCTAAAGGGGGTTGGCCTATGAGAACCAGAACTTGGCCAGATGGAAGAAGACTTGGCTCTGATGGACTCAAAAAATGGCAAAAATTCAGGCCTAAAATTATCCAACAAGAGGATAAAATTAAAGAAAAAACAAAACAACCAAAAACAACTAAAACCTTAAAAAGTTCCCCTTCCACGCCTTCAACTGCCTCTAATAAAATTACTCATAAAACAACAGAAATGCCTTTACAACGTTTTACGGTCGATCCGGGTATTAAGCCTGGATTGCATTTTACTTTTGGTAATCAAATATAGATTAATATTACTGCAAAATTAATAAAAAATTATAAAAAATAGTTGTAAGTCCATTAGACAAGTCCATCTTATCTAAATTAACTTACTGTATTTTTTGTATAATTACTATTTTATTAACTTATAGGTAGAATGGGATAATTAATCAAGGGAGGGCAATCATTCGAGTTTTGAAATTTTGAACGGGGGAATCTTGATAAATCTTCGCCAATATCACTCTTTATGCCCCTCAAAAACTCCTGATTCTAGTAAGGTACTTAATGGGGTTAGTATGGATAATTATTTGAGAAAATACTGTAGAAGGTGCCGTTTAGATGCTTCTTTTTAAAGATAAAGCTTAAAAGAAAATATTAGCATCTATATTAGAAAATAGTATTTAGTAAATGGAGATTGAATTGAAATGGGAACTGGTATCTATAATTAATTCTAGCTATGCCCCTCTGAATTTTTGAAAAAAGATAGAATTAATTTAGAAAAACTTATAAAAATTAGCACAATTTACCCTCAACTTACACAAATTCACCTAAAAGAATTGTGACTTTCTTTCCTAAACAAAATTTCCGTTTTTTGCACAAAAATGTTTTTCGTTTCCCTTTAATTTTTTATTAAATTTTTATTTACAAAAATAAATCTAGATTTTATATTAAATGTTCTCTTTTTCTTAGTTTTTTTATTTAAAATTTTATATTTTAAATTTTATTTTTATTACATAGTATAATATTGAATGTGCGAATAGTGCTGCTGGAATCCTAAAAATAAACATAATTATAAAATAGCGACACTCTATAACGATTTCCTTTTATCCCTAAATCCGCCAATATCCCTCTTTATGCCTCTCAAAAACTCTTGTTTTAAGTTATCAATATTTAAATGCCCCGTTATTTACTAGACTTCACACTAATTTGGATATTTTTTTTGAAAATCGGGGTTCGGATCCGAGTCTATAAAATCGGCATTTTGGATTTTCTGGATTTTGATCCCGAAATATATATAAAATTTTCATATATTCGACGAAGAAAATTTGCTGTGCCTTAATTCTAACAAAAAATTAAATTATTATTTGATTGCAGTGTGCTTTTTTAGTAATAATATGTATGTATTATATATTTGTTTTTATTTTCTTTAATCTAAAATTTAATTTTATTCTTAAACTTTTCACAAATTTTAAGTTAAAATATAGGGCTTTTTGAAATTATTCTTTTAAAAAGTATATTCGGTTCGATTGCGTATATCTGAAGATTTTACGAGAACAGACAAACTATTACACAATCCTTTAGCTTTTAAATAGAACCGGATTGATAAGTTAGGTGCTTATTATTAGGGCTAGGATTTTAGGCAAAATGCCTGTTTTTTCCTAGATAGGCCTGATGCTGATTTTTGCCTTTTTTTCGGATTTTAGTGCCTATTTTGGGTGTTTTTTAGTGCCTATATAGGCGCCTATTTTTAACTTTATAGTGCCTAAAAATCCTAGCCCTACTTATTATAGTTATTTTCGAGATTTTTCGAGTTATTTTGTACGTTATAGTTATTACCTGTAACTATGTTTCTTTCTATTACTTTTCTTTCTTAAATCTTGTCTGCACTAATTAGTTAACATTTCTAGGAAAGAAAGTCACTTTTTTAAACGGATTTGCTAAATTATTTATCTCTCTTCCTAAATAAAATTCATTTTATTTCTAAAACTTTTTTAATTTTGCAGTAAAATTCTTTTTAAAAATTTTAATCCTTTTCAATTATCCTTTAAAAATTTAAAATTTTTTAGCACCTACTCCAAAGCCTTCAACTAGCACCACAACTAGAAAAACTTTAGCTCCTCGCTTTCCTGTTGATCCTAATGATCCGACTTTGTATGCCGTTAGACCAACGACACCAATGAACGGAGCTTCTCAATACGGAAATACTCCTACTGTATGTTAAAAATAATTTTATTTCATGATTTCCGTGGATTCAGAGGATTCGGAGGGTTTTGAATACATATAAGGGCATATATGACCCTTGATATCTATTCAATTATTCTATTTTAATCAACTCAAATCTTTCAATATTTCCTCGAAGCGCAATCAACCTATCATCGATATCCCTTATTTCTTTATCACTTTTCAAAGCGACCGATATACCTGATATTTCCTCCAAATAGCTCTTTAATCACTCAAATTGTTGAAATTTTAAAATTATTTAGCGTCTGATTCATAGAGTATTACGTTAAAGTATTTTTAATTGAATAAAATATGAATTGGATATTCTGTATGACAAATTTAGTCAAAAGCCGGTTTCGGTTAACCGGTTTTTGACTGGTCGACAACAACCCTAATTAAAATATATCAAAATAATTTTAGACAATGGTTCCTTCTACCTCAAACAATCAATTAGGCAACGATAAAAAATTTTTGATTGGAGGTATTCTTGAATAATTAACTTTTTTTATCTATATTTTTAGTCGGATCACTTAGTATTGTTGTTATGCTTGGTGCCATATTACTTTGTGTCTTTTTTAAACGCCCTCATCAGATTTGTGCTCAAATGGCCGCAGCGGCAGCTGGAGGAGGTCAAGGAGGTACTATTGGACAATCTTCGACTAATGGTCTAAAATCTGGATATACACCAATTCCTCCTAATGAATTCTCTCCTCAAGTTCAACACCATTAAATGAGAGAATTTGAAAGTAATAATAATAATGGAGTTGGTGCTCGTGTTGGAACTCTTGTGGTAATAATTCGAATAATTTTTATGAAGGAACCCATGTTTTTTGTCTATCTAAACGCCTTAAGTTAGAAACCAGATCAAAATTGATTTAATCTCGAGGTCGAAACAAGCTTAAAAAATCAGAACCAATTAAAAGTTGACCCCAATTTGAAACCAAAGTCGAACATACTAACAATGATAACTAATCGAACTAAACTCGAAGCCGAAACCAGCCATTGTTTTCTGACTAGCAAACACTCAAAGAAGCCGCCACCCTCTCAATCATCCCCCAACTAAAAACCCCAAAAAGTCTTGAGTTTTACAGTGAAGTTATATTTATATAAAATAATTTTACATAGGATCTCCATACAGTTAATAATTTTACATAGGATCTCCATACAGTTATTTACAGACATATGTCTGCAAGACATATTTTTTGAAAGATATTTTGAAGAACTCGCATCACAATTGAAATATTTTAATTACGAAAAATAATCATTTAAAGGGGTCAACCCAAAGTTTATTACGTAACGGAAGTGGAACAATAGGAAATGGAAATAGCGCTTCGGCTGTTGGATTTACCGATAGATCAGGGGCAAGATTCACAACAATATTAGCTCAAGGGAATGGAGGAACTCCACGAGAAACAATTGCAATTTCAAGAGAAGCTCAACAACCAAAAAGAGAATTTAAAGAGTGGTATGTCTAGAATTGAGGAAAATATTCGTAGAAAATATTGCTCAATTCTATCTAAAATTAAAAATTTTATTCTGCCAAAAATTTTTCCTTTATTAATAATTGTCAATTATTAATTTTTAATCTCACTTGTCATTGAAACAAGCATTCATTTTTATATTATTTTGTATAATTTTTTGCAATAAATAAATATTTATTTAATTTATACATAATCTTTTTAAAAAAATTTAGCATAAAAATATTTAATAAGGTTTTAATTAGAGTTAAAAAATTTTGGTTATCTTGAACGGACTGGGAATGTCGTATGAGAATTGTATGAGTTATACATATCTCTGAAAAATAAAATTTTATTTCAAGACCTAGTTTCGATAATAATTTTTTGAAGATACCGATTTCAATTATCGTACTTTTTTCAGTTTCTAATTCTAATACATTTATGTTTAAAATTTAATATTTTTCATTCTTCTTGGTTCTTATTTCAATAAGATCATATGGAAAAAGAGGGTGATAATTATTTGGCAATCTATCAATTTTATAATTTTCTGAATCTGAAGTTTCCTTCTTCAACATTTCCTTTTCCGAACTATCCAATTTAGGCAAAATTTCATTTTTTCCATCTATCTCATCCAAGGTCCTTTCACTTGACAACATTTTATCCAACGTTTTATCCTTTTGAATAATCACTTCCGGTGGCTCCAAACAGTTATTTACAGACATATGTCTGCATGACTTATTTTTTGAATTATATTTTGAAGAACTCGCTGAAAGTGTCACATTTGTAGGAAATGACAGTTGCTTTCCGATTTTCTTCTTCAAAACCATTCTTTCGCTGTTAAAAGTTGGTGTTGCTTAAATAAATGGAATTATAAAAAATTTAAAATAAATCTAAAATAACAACCAGCTCGCGGAGGAGTATTTGACAAAATGTTGTATGAGAACTTGATTTCCATGAAAACAAATAGTAAAATAATGTTGAGGAGGTGCATATTCATGGGAATTGCCTTAGTGTTTTCGTTGAAGCTGGATTAAGACGGATTTTTAGACTGGATTTGCTTTTCTTAAAAATGATGAGTGATTTCAATGAAACCGATCTCGTATTTATAACCTTAAGAATGCCCTTTCAACGAGATTGCCCTTTTAAATAAAAAAATAAAAACAGGCAATATGAAAAGGGCAGGATTCATTGCCTCTTTTGAAAGGATTGGACATGCTGTTTATTTCATAAAAAATTACACATGAAATCTTAAATCTCTTTTCAGCTTTTCACGTGAATATGTATACATTTTGAAGTTGAGTTTTCGTTATAAGATGCAATATATGATGCAATTTATGATGCAATAACTTACCTTTAAATGCCCTTTCATCAACTTCAAAGCTTCCGTTATCGACAGTCTTGAGTCAGTAATTTCTTAACTAATGTAGTGTGAATGTGGCGTGAAAGGGAATAATCAAAGAAAAATACAAGGGTAATCAGGAGAATTTAATTTTGAAATTAAAAAACCGCCCAGATGCGGCGCTAGCTACTCCTATCCAAAAAAGAGGAATAAATACGCGGTTGATTTCAAAGAAAATCATAATTAAAATTCTCCTTTTCAAGGAAATAAAGCTTTAAATTTAATAATTTT